GGCCGCCTCGCCCCGCGCTGGCGACGCCCCTCTGAGCCGCGACCCCTCCCTAAAAAGGCGGGACCTCGCCCCCTCGCGGCCACTATGGGGAGATTCGGGTCCCCAGGCCGTGGGAGCATTCGGGGCGGGCTTTCCGGCTTCCTGCCCCCGCCCCCCGCCCTCGGCGGGAATTGGGGACACCCTAGGGTCAAATGTCAGCGTCAGTGGCCACCACAGACAGAATTTGCGTGCCTGAGTTCCCTCTCCCTTACCTCCATTGTTCAGGGAGGTAAACTGAGCCTGGAGAGGCCTTGTGGCTTGCTGGAGGCCTCCCTGCAGACTAGGGCAGGAGCTAAGGTGGGTCAGTGGCCCTCTGCCGCAACCGCTGCCCCCACCCCTCCACGGCCCCAGCAGCTGAAGGACCACGCTGCCTGTGCCTGTTTAGTTTCCCAGGTGGCAAGTGTGAGCCCGCTGACCAGGATGTGGTGCACACAGCCCTGAGGGAGACCCAGGAAGAGCTGGGCCTGACTGTGCCTGAGGACCGTGTGTGGGGCGCCCTGCAGCCCGTGTATGACCAGGTGAGCCCACTAGGCCTGAGGCCACAGCCACCCCTTACCCCATTCACCTACTCCGCCTGCCCGGGGCTAGGAGCCGGACCCGCCACAAGCAGCATGGTCATGGACTTTGGCAGGCGTGGAGCGCAGTGGCACATCAGGCGCTTGGTTGGTTTCCCTCCGCACACAACCCACCAGGGAGGGGCCTGGAGTATTTTCATCCCATTTTCACCCGGGATACTGAGGCTCAGGTTCCGGGGTGGAAGTGGCTCTGGGGTGAGCCAGCTCTGCTTAGTTTGGTGGATGAGGGTTGGGGAAGGCCTCATGGTAGGAAAGGATTGAATGACAAGTGACAGATTTTAGGGTAGTAAAAGTAAAGGAAGATTGTTCTAAGTGGAGGGAACGGTCTGCAAAGGCCCAGAGGCCTGAATGGAGAACCTGAGTCAGTCAGCATGGCTGGAGTGAGCCCCAGGACAGAGGCCAGGTGGACCTGGCCTTGGCTGCTAAAGGCATCGGATGGCAAGGGTGGGGTCTTCCTCTCAGCCTCCCTTCTCGAGCCCCAAAGCCCTGCTGAGGCCATGCCTCCCTGACTGCCTGCCTTCTGGCCACAGGCAAAGAACACCGTGGTGCCAGTGCTTGCCGGCGTGGGCCCACTCGACCCCCAGAGACTCAAGCCCAACCCAGAGGAGGTGAGTAGGGGCAGGGATGCTGGGGGACTGGGTAGTCCCAATGAGGGAGGCTGCAGTGGCCAGTCCTCTGTCCACCCTCTCGCTGCCTCCTGTCCACAGGTGGAGGAAGTGTTTGCACTGCCCCTGGCCCACCTGCTGCAGGCGCAGAACCAAGGCTACACCCACTTCTGCCGGGGTGGCCACTTCCGCTACACAATGCCTGTCTTCCTTCACGGGCCACACCGTGTCTGGGGGCTCACAGCTATCATCACTGAGTTCACCCTGCAGTTGTTGGCACCTGGTGCCTACCAGCCCCGCCTGGATTTTCCTGGGTGGCGCAGAGGCTAAAGACCGGATCTTAAGCAGCCCTGCCTTCACCCTGCCAGGCTAGCTCCACTTCAGGACTGAATAAAGAGCCTTTAGTGACTCTTGGGCAACCGTGTCTTCTGCGCTAGGGCCCTGACCTTGGGCAGACTCCATGGGACAGCTGGTCTCCTGGCCGAGGCGCCTCTGTCCAAGCACAGTCACCCAGAGCAGTGGGCACTTACTGTATACCAGGTACTTGGCATAATTTCTCATTTCACCCTCACCTGAGCCCTGTGAGGTGGGGCCAACACTGTCCCTGGTAAGAATGGGGTTCAGAGAGGATAGACACCTTGCCCAAACTGGGATTCGAACCCGGCCCTGACTAGAGCCCAAACTCTCAGCTGCTGTACTGTTCCCTTCTCCGTGCCTGGCTGACCATGTACCAGGCCGCAGGAGTCTGGAGAGGAGCCCAGCTCATTACTAATGAGCGCCCACCATGCGCCAGCTGCTGTGCTGGGGCCACATCTGCAGACCAGCCAGATGCTGTCCTGGCCTCTGGGGGGTGGGGGGTGGGGCTCAGACTAGGGAAAACCTGAGACCAGGTCACACTGATGATTGTGTGATTGCACGTTTATCAATTACATATAAATAATAGTGGAATTATCTATTAATGAATGCACAGGGTTCTGTGAATGAATTGAGGGGGAGGATGTTTGGGCTTGGACATGTGGACTGGGCAGTGTTAGCCAGGACAAGTGGTAGAAACCCCACCCACTGGCTGACGTTGCCAAAAGAGGAATGGTCATTACGAACTCCAGAGATAATTAGCTTCAGGCATGGCTGGGTCCAGGGGCCCTTTCTCTGGCTGTGTTTTCTGTGTTGGCCTCACTCCCAGGAACAGTCTCTACTCCACAGGGATGGGAGATGAGGAGAGGGCAACAGCTCTAGGATGGCACCAGCGTTCCATCAACAGAAAACATTTTCTCAGCCCATTTAATCCAGAATTGCACTGTATTAGCCTGCTTTGGGTCACATACCCTTCCCTGAGCCTGTCATGTAGCCTGCTGGATTTGGAATTCATTGATTGGCAGGGTCTGGGGCACAAGCCTGGGGAGGAAGGTGAACCTCCTGGACTAGGAACAGGGAAGGGGGTGGCCTCCAAAGGACCACTGGGAAGAGGGAATGCTGAGCAGGTAAAAGCCAGCCAAGTTCCCCTTCAGAGAGTGACCTTGAAACCAAAGGCAAGTGGGAATGAGCCAGGTCAACAGGCAGGGCAGGAACAGCACACGAACAAAGCTTGGGGTGTTCCAGGAAACCATGAAGAGTAATGTGGGGGTGCCCAGGGGGCACACCTCGGTGATGGGTTAGGATTTTATTCCAAGCCCATAAGAGAGAGAAATGTTGACGTGATTGACCCGTTTTTAAAATGCTGGAGCTGCAAGGGGACCAGGTTGCAGATGCCCTCTTCCCTAGGCGCCCCCCTTCTTCCCGGGCACCCCTCCCTCTCCACATGAACCCTCCCACCTCACCTCCCTATGCGCCCCCTCCACACCTTCCAAAGTGCCCCCACACCCCTCCCCACATGCTCCCTCCTCCTGCACCCCTTCCCTCTCACCTGCCTTTCCATCCCCACACACCCCTCCCATTGCCCCTCACACCCCTGTCACCTCTGGGCATCCAGCCTCCTCGCATTGGAGCAGGACCCGTGATGCTGGTAAAAATAACACAGCGTGTGGTGGGGGGAGGGGCTGACGAGGAGGGAGGGAGGCTGAGGCCCCCTCCCCCTTACTAAGTCTGGGACCCTTGGAGTTGAGGGCCCGGAGGTGCCCTCTCCGGAGCCTTGGAGGTGAGCTCTGAGCTCCGCCCCCTCCCCTGCGGTACCAGAGAGGCCCTGGGTCACACGGATGAGTCACCTCAGTCAGGCGCACACCCAGCGCCAGCAAGAGCCGAGCTAGGTGGAGGAGCTCTCAGAAGTAAGTAGCCCAGCCGGCAGCCGGCACACCGGGTCCCCCTCCAGGCTGGAGCCCCCCACTTCTATCCCACCCACCCAACCCTGCCCTCTGTCCTCAGGTCCCGGCTGCCACCCAGGACCCTCCTTACCACCCTCAGTGATGCCTCCTCACCATGTCTCGTTGGCTCAGTGTGGTCCCCTCATGTCCAGTCCAAGGGGGATTGTCTGAGCCGCTGCCCCACGCCTGAGCCCCCATGGCGGGCACTGGGGCAGCGAGCTGGAGGCGGCCACAGCGGGTGAGCATGCAGGAGCACATGGCCATCAATGTGAACCCAGGACCCATCCGGCCCATCCGCCTCATTTCTGACTACTTCCCGCACTTCTACCCCTTCACTGAGCCCGCCCTGCGTGCCCCAGATCCACACCCTGCAGTGGCCCCCACCGTCCACTCTGCACCCCAGCCGCAGCCAGAGCCAGAGCCAGAGGGAGACTCGGATGACAGCAGTGAGCAGGGGCAGGGAATGAGGACCCTGGGCCCAGCCCAGCCAGGGTGGGGCCTGAGGTACCCCACGCATCTGACCTGTGAGGGGCAGGGCAGGAGGCTGGTGCCGTTGTGGGGGTTCAGGAGGAACTGACCCTGTGTGCCACCTGCCTTTAGCTACCCTGGGCACCCTCGAGTTCACACTTCTTTTTGATGCGGACAACAGCGCCCTGCACTGCACTGCCCACCGAGCCAAGGTAAGGATGGGGTGTGGGGCCCTGGGCCATGGGCCTGGGCCACAGCCTGCCCCATATCCATTGTCTCTTCCCAGGGCCTCAAGCCACCAGCCTCAGGCTCCTTAGACACCTATGTCAAAGCCAATCTGCTGCCAGGGGCCAGCAAGGTGAGGGCAAGACCCAGGCCCCTACTGCTGCCCCTTGGCCACACACCCAGCCTGGAATACCCACCCATCCTGCCCGGGTCCTTCCCCATAAGGCCTGGACATCGGGCCTGGAGCTCCCCATTGCTCTATGTACAACTGGGCATTCTATCAGGGAGGTGGGCCAGGGTGGGGCCCTGGAGCTGGAGGAAGCCCTGACCCACCCTGCCCGGCCCTCAGGCCAGCCAACTGCGGACACATACAGTTCGGGGCACAAGGGGACCTGTCTGGGAAGAGACGCTCACTTATCATGGCTTCACCCACCAGGATGCTGGGAGCAAGACCCTGCGGTGAGGATTGGCCTGGTCATGAGGGAGCAGGGAGGAGTGGGGACTTGCCTGTCCTGGTCTGACTTGGGCGGCCACCAGGTTGTGTGTATGTGAGGACCCGTGGCTGCATCGACGGAGGCGAGTGCCTCTCCTGGGGGAGCTGCGGGTACCCCTGAGGAAGCTGGTGCCCAACCAAGCCAGGAGCTTTAATGTGTGTCTGGAGAAGCGGAGGCTGGTGAGTGGGGACGGTGCACAAGGTGGGGCTTCAGGGTCCAGCAACCTCGTGATGGGGGAGCTGGAGAGGGGAGGGGCATGGAGGGGAACTTGGGCAGTGTCCAGCCAAGGTGACCAGGCTCTCTGCTCTTTCAGACCAAGAAGCCCAGGAGCCTGGACACATCCCGTGGCATATCCCTGTATGAGGTGCATAGGACAGTGGGACTGAGCACGAAGGTGGAGGGGACAGGCCTGGGGCACCAGGCGTCAGGCAGGGGCCAAGGCGGGCTTGGGAAGCTGAGGCCATCCCTCTCCTGTGTTCTGTGAGTGCTTAGAGCCCTGGGGAGCAGCCAGGTCAAGGAGATGGGGGGCACTGGGCTAAGCACAGCCCTCAGTGGGCAGAGACCCAGGCCACCTGGAGGCAGGGGCTGAAATTGGTGGCATTTGTGGCCAGAGAAGCTGGGAGGGCAGGAGAGAATGGCCCAGGTGGGGCTCCCTCATGGGTAGGTTGACACCTGGGGCGGTATGGGTGTCACTTGCCAGGAGGCAGTGACAGTGACTGCAGGGGCCCCATGGGAAACCAAAGGCTAGGCCAAAACCCTTTTGGCCTGGGAGGAGCAAGGTTACTGCAAGGCTGAGGCAGGCCTGGCCCAGGACCCTGATGGAAGGGACAGGTGCTACTGCCCTGCCCCCTAGTGGAGCCACAAGTTACTGCAGCTGATGGCTAAGGGAGGCCAGGCAAGTCCCACTGCGGTGGGGCAGGCACCCTGTGCCACCCCTTCCTGTCCCAGACCCCACACACTGTAGTGCCTGGGTGCACAGCAGGTGCTCACGGAACACTCCTATACTAAGAACTAAATGCTAGCACGGTGGCTGGGCTTTCTGCAGATCGAATCCCATGTTGAGTATGGTAGAAACGTGTTCTTCCCAGCCTCCCCCACTCCTTTTGGAAGAAGCATCAGGGGCTATGTGGCAAAGGCATTCAGGACCTGGTCCCCAGGACGGTGGGGGTGAAGAGGGTGGGTTTTGTCCTTGGGTAGAGAACAGCCTCTGAGAACTGCTTCCATGACATGGGACTTGCCCTGTAAGAGGGTGGCGATGGGCACTTAGTGGGAGGCCACTTAGCAAGCTCCTGGCATGTCTGTGGCACTCAGGAACACCAGTTTCCCTCCTCTCCACAACAAACATGTGAAGTGACCAGTCACGGGTCTGAGCAAGCCCCTCCCCTTCTTAGGTTCCCTTCTGGGGCACCAGGTCAATGACTGTTAATGAAGTGAAATCATTGACCCGATTTCTTTGCAGCCAGTCTGAGCTCTCACATCCTGGCAGATACTGGAGGGTGGGTGGGCTTCGGGCCACACACGGGCTGACCCCAGCCTCCCCTGCAGGAGGAGGTAGAGGCAGAGGTGGCTGGGGAGGAGCGTGGGCGCATCCTGCTGTCCCTGTGCTACAGCTCTCAGCGGGGTGGCCTGCTGGTGGGGGTGCTGCGCTGCGCCCACCTTGCTCCCATGGATGCCAATGGCTACTCGGACCCCTTCGTCCGCCTGTGAGTGTGAATGGAGGTAGACAGGTGGGCATGGGGGTTCCTCAGCACCCCTCTGGGACTCACCTCTCCAGAGCCACACCTAACATGACCCCATCCTCCCCAATCAGATTCCTGCATCCAAATGTGGGGAAAAAATCTAAATATAAGACCAGTGTTCGGAAGAAGACCCTGAATCCCGAATTCAATGAGGTAGGCCAGGGCGGGGCCAGTGCAGTCCTGGCTGCTCTGGGGTGGGGGAGGTCAGCGTCCTGCCTCAGTCAGAGACTGCAGGTCCCTGCTAACCTGTGTCCCTCACCAGCCAGAGCCTGTTTCTGAAGGTGTGAAGGACCTGGGGCTGCCTCCTTCCTTTCTGTCTCCCCTGCAGGAATTCTTCTATGCAGGCGCAAGGGAGGAGCTGGCCCAGAAGACATTGCTGGTGTCTGTGTGGGACTATGACCTGGGCACAGCGAACGACTTCATTGGTGAGTGGAACGCAGGGGAGTTGGGTGGGGGGCCCAATGGGCTCCCACACATCTGACCCCTATCCCTCAACCCAGGCCTGGTGCAGCTGAGTGGCCAGGCCAGTGGAGAGCGCCAGCGGCACTGGAGAGAGTGCCTGGACCACAGTGACCAGCGGCTGGAGCTGTGGCATGTGCTGGATGGTGCGCCCCTCCAGCTCAGCGACTAGCTGGGGCACCTGGCCTGGCCCTGCTCACCGCTTCTCCCCCAGACTGACCCAGACATCTCCACAGAGTTGGGAGGACCTGGGGCTGCCTCAGCCACCGTGCGCAGCCCCTAGTCAAATTGTTTCCTCCCTTCTCCCCTTTCAAATTTGCCCACTACCAAATGAGGAAGCAGGAATAAACCTCTCCTCCAAACCAGACTAGACCAAGCCTGTTCTTTCCTTGCCCATCACCTTACAAGGCAAACTGGGCCCTGCTCCGTTGTCCCCACTCCCCAGAGGCCCAGGTTCTGACCCCAGGCCATAGCTTTCCCCTCCTCCCCACCCCTGCTTCCTGCACTGAAGGCTGGGTGTTCAGAATGGTCTAGGACAGACGCACTGACCCACAGGAGGCCAAGGTCTGGATTCACTACATAACCTTCAGCTGACCTATCCTTTCCAAGCCTCCCCATCTGGGAAACAGGTCTCAGTGAGGAATGGACCCCAGGTGGCAGGGTGGAGAACAAAGCCACAGAGAAGCTGCAACAGGATAGTGGGCAGCACTTGCTTTATTGTCCCACCATCTGGGTAGACAAGCGCCAGCCCAGGGCAGCAGGTTCAGGAGGCTGCTTGCCTGACCTGGTGCTGCTGGGCAAATCGCTGCATCCGGTCCTCGAGCTCTGGCCGGAAGTGGCGGATCAGGCCCTGGGGGGGGAACACCGTGAGAACTGGGGTCTAAAAATCCCCTCCTGCCCTAGGTTCTCAGCACCCCACACCAGCGCGCAGGGCAGCAAGTACCTGCACAGGCCAGGCGGCCCCGTCACCCAGAGCACAGATGGTATGGCCCTCTATCTGCTTGCTGATCTCCCACAGGGAGTCAATCTCAGCAGGCCGGGCGTCGCCCCTCACAAAGCGGGCCATCACCTTGTTCATCCAGTCCACACCTGCAGCCACAGTAGGGAGAGACTGAGGAGCCACAGCAGGCCACAGGCAGCATTCAGGGTCCAGAGCCCACCCCACCTTTGACCTATGCCCGGCCCAGGGTGAGCCACAGAGAAAGCCCCACCCTGCCTGGGGTGCTCACCCTCTCGGCATGGGGTACACTGGCCGCAGCTCTCGTGCTTGTAGAACTCAATGAGGCGGGCGATGGCTTTCACAATGTCCGTCTGGAGGGACAAAAGACAGTGAACAGGCACCCAAGGCCTGAGCCTCAGCCCCCAGGAGCAGCCACTTCTGATCCAACAGTGTCCTGGCCGCTCCCCCACCCTCTCCAGGGTGTCCTGCACTGCCCACTCCCCATGGGCATCCTGCCTCAGGGCAGCCTGGCTCCCCTCCTCTCCCACCTGTATCTCAGGCTGCAGGGTCTGGAACCCCAGAGCTGGCAAGAGTGCTCAGAGAAACCCAGGGAGGGTGGCATGTGCTCAGAGAAGTGCCAAGCAGGCTGGCATGAGGCAGGGACTGGGTAGGAAGCATGGGCCAGCCCTTACCGAGCGGTCCATGACGATCACCGCAGCCGTACCCAGGCCTGTCTGCGCCTGCACCAGTGCGTCGAAGTCCATCAACACCGTTTCACACACGGACTTGGGGATCAGCGGGGTGGACGAGCCGCCGGGGATCACAGCAAGGAGGTTGTCCCAGCCACCCGTGACACCCCCTGGTGTCCCAGTCAGTCCCCAAATGATGGATGGTCAGGGCTGGGGCTGGCATACTTGCTTAGTCCTGAGCCCAGGACCTGTCAACCCCACCCCAGTCCCTGCCCCAGCCCCTGAGGCCCTTCCAGGCCTGGCTCTCTTCCAGTAGACCCTGCCCTGCCCTCCCTGCACGGCCCCAGGCCTCACCGGCATGCTTTTCAATCAGCTCTTTCAGTGGCACAGACATCTCCTCCTCCACGGTGCATGGATGGTTGACGTGCCCAGAGATGTTGAACAGTTTGGTGCCTGAGTTGCGCTCACGGCCAAAGCCGGCAAACCAGGCACCCCCACGGCGGCAGATGGTGGGGGACACAGACACTGTCTCCACATTGGCCACCGTGGTGGGGCAGCCAAATACTCCTGTGAGGAAATGGGACAAGAGACCAGTGGCTGCCCGGGGTGGGAACAAATTGGGGCAATGGTTCTGTCCAGGGTCCTGCTCCCAAGGCAGAGAGCCCCCCATTCTACTGCTTTATCACTCATCCCCACTGGACCCCACACTCTGAGCAGGTCCTGAGCTGCCTTGTTCCCCACCCTGCCCTTTGCTCCTGGAGGGTGGGAGGGGACTTGGGTGTCTGACGTGGGGGCTGAGGCAGGTGGCACCAGTGGAACCTCTGTGTTGTTACCACCCTGCTCTCTGTCTGGCCCCCAGTGCAGAAGGAACTCAGAAATTCCCTAAGGAAGACCAGTGGGGACCTGCACCCAGATCCCGGATTCCACAGGACATAGGACAAGGCCCAGGCTTCAGCGGGGTCTTACCCACATCTGCTGGGAAGGGTGGCTTCAGGCGGGGCTTGCCCTGCTTGCCCTCGATGGACTCTATGAGCGCCGTCTCCTCCCCACAGATGTAGGCCCCAGCCCCGCGCACCACAAACACATCAAAATCATAGCCGGAGTCGCAAGCATTCTTGCCAATCAGACCAGCCTCGTAGGCCTCTCTGATAGCCACCTGTGGAACAAGGGTGAGAGGTGAGGGCACTGTCCCCAAGGGCCTGGGAATACTGGGTGTGTGTGTATGTGTGTGTGTGGGGGGGAATACAGGCCCACCACCAAATCCAGGGCAAAAGCCCCCTTTGACATGAGTGGAAGACACTCTGGGAGGAGGTAAGGACGTCTACAGTGTGCATGCTATTGTAATAACAACACTTAAAAATTCTCCAACTACTTTTAGAAGAAAAACATTAGAATAAAGAAAACTTAGCAAGTAGTTTCTCTAGGTAGTAGGTCTATGTGAGATGTTTCTCTTTCATGTGTGTAGTTTCCTATCTTTATAATAAGTACTGCTTCTGCAATAGAGGGAAAGACCTAGAGGTTTAACTTTAAAATATGTAATAACAATCTTATATGCAATGCTACTATGTGCCGGACACTGTTCCAGGTGCTGTTCCTGCATCCCTCGTTGCTGTTGTGTAGGAGCCTAATAGAGAGGTGTGACTCTGGCCCTGGCCCGATCACTACAGGCATCACCAAGCTAAGAATTACTGAAACGATCCCTTGACCCTTCTGCAGGAATACGCCCTCTTACGAGTTCCCCAGCCCACCCACACCCTAGAAGTCATGCAGCCCTGGAAAACCATCCAAATTGAGGCTCTGAAGCATACTGGGAGGGCCCAGAGAAGGCGGCTTTGGGGGCGATGTCCCACTCACAACACGAGTGACCACCACTCTCCCAGTTTGACCCCAGACAAATCAGGTGCTAAAATCTAAGAACTATGCCAGGTAAGTGGATGTGAGTGTACACAGAGCACCTCCTCCTCTGTGATGCCCCTCCCCTGGCCCACCTGCAGATTAGAGGCCTCATTGTAGAATTCCCCACGGATGTAGATGTAGGCTGCACGGGCACCCATGGCCCGGCCCCCCACTAGGCAGCCTTCCACCAACTTGTGGGGGTCGTGGCGCATGATCTCCCGGTCTTTGCAGGTGCCTGGCTCCCCCTCATCCGCGTTCACCACCAGATACTTGGGCCTGTGGGGGGCCAGCAGGTCAGTTAGGCTATAGGGCCACCAGGGATGGTCTTTCAACCCCCACTCTACCCAGCAAAGTCTCAAAGATGTCTCCTCGAACAGCCAGTCCCTCTCTGCCCTCCCAATATGTTCCCAGGAGTTCTGCTTGCTCACCACCAATGACAGAGAGCTCAGTTTATTCCATCTTTGGGTGGCTATGACCACAGGAAAGATCTCTGCTCTGCTCAGTCCAAATGTCTTTCTTTGTGCTTTCCCAAGAGCCCAAATTCTGCTTTTGGTCACAAAGGGCCTTCCTGAACCTCTACCATAGCACTGGGGCCAAAAGGAGGTAAAGTAGCTGAAATTTATCATTTGCTTTCTATGTGCTGACCAAGGAGCAGGCCAAAAGCTATACGAACATTACTGCTTTAATCCCTACAAAATATAATATCCATTTACAGAAAAGGCCAAAAAGGCCAAGAGACTGCCCAAAGCTCAATGATTAGAAGGCAGAGCTAGGAACTGATCAGTTAAGTCTGCCTGAGTCAAAATCTTATGCTGCCCTGGCCGGGTGGTTCAGTTTGTTGAAGCATTGTCTTGTACACCAAAAGGCTGCGGGTTCAATTCCCAGTCAGGGCACATACCTAGACTACATGTTCAATCCCTCGATGGGGTGTGCATGGGAGGCAACCGATCAATGTTTCTCTCACATCAATGTTTCTCTCTCTCCCTTCCTCTCTCTCTAAAATCAATGAACATATCCTCAGAATGAGGGTTAAAAAATAATAATCTTGTGCAGATTCTGCTACCCCTCAAGCCTCCCCTGAGGAACACCAGCGAGAACTGAGTCCCGCCTACTTAAGCTCTGGTAGGTACCATTTCCCACTTTATTCACTCCAAGGAAACAACCCAAAGCCCTAGGTAAGCCAGAGCCACCCGCAGGTTTCTCCTGCAACCCCATCTCTGCCTCCCTAAACACACCTGCCATCTGAGGGCTTATTCATGAAGCTCCACTTGAGGCCAGTGGGGAAGCCAGCGCCTCCACGGCCCCGCAAGCCAGATGTCTTGATCTCACCCAGGATCCAGTCAGGCCCCTTCAGCAGTATCTCCTTTGTCTTGTACCAGTCACCTCGACTCTGGGCACCTTTCAGCCTGGACAGAGTAGGGAAGGCAGTGAAGGGAAGGTCCTACCCTGCCCTGTGACCCACTAGGATAAGGGGACCATCTTACCTCCAGTCATGGCGTCCATACAGGTTGGTGAAGATCCGGTCTTCATCCTTCAGTGAGCCAAATGAGGTTTTCTTGGGCGCTGTCTGGGGACAAAGAGGGTCAGGAGGTCCAGCAGAGCTCTGGTGTCATGAGGGGCCAGGCCAGAAGCTACAGATTCTTGGGTCCCTCTGATTAGAGGGGGCTGGGCTGGAGAGAGGGTAGGGGCCTAAGCCTTAGAACCCTTGTAGCATCATAGCTTCCACCACCACTTAGTAAGCATTTCCTGTTCAGCAGGCGCTAGGCTAAGCATTTTATATCCAAAACCCCATTTCCTCCTCATAACCCTGAGACGGAATGAT